ACCCCCCCCCCCCTCCTCGCCATCCCTCGCCAAAGTTCGCCACAAGTGCCTGTCGCCTCCGTTACGCCGCGTAAATAGAATTCGAACGAGGTACCGGAGAGACTCGGTGTCCGCCATGAAGCCGCGGACAGCACACCTGCGCACGCACTTGTCCCGTGCGTGATCCATTTCCGCGGGCGCGCGGGCGCGCTCGCAAGTATGCATGGGTGCGCGCGAAAAAATGAGAGGCACCGAAGGGGGAAACGAGCAGTCGCGGCGAGCGGCCTTTCTTTAATTTATCACCCGCGAGTAAAATGCAGCGCGCAGGAAAACTACCAGGGAATTGGAAATTATTAGACGCGCTCCAACGTAAGGAAGATTCTCCCTCTTCTTTCTATCCCGCCTGCTTCACCTTGTCGGCCAAGTACGCGCGCCATCGTTTATCAAGTGGAAAAAAATTTAATGCGCCAAGCTGATAAAATGCCGAGGAATAATTGCGTACCTCGCCACGTCAATTTTCGAAAGGGAACATTAATTTCGAAAGCTGCGCGCTTTATTTTCCTTTGGCCGTGGGCTTGGCGTTGGGCGCACGTTACCTTATTTCCTGGATTCAATCGAATAATTCGCGCGATCCGATGGGCGCACGCGTCCTTTTTCGGAAGCCTCATTACCCAAGTACATTATGAGCATATTTATAGTTACTATGAACGAAGTCGAACACTCGTAACACTTCATAAAGAACCTAAAGTGCAAATATCGTGCTAAGTTCTCTTAAAATCTCTTAAAATCTCTTAAAATATTATATTACATGGAGTATATAAGCTAAAGCGCTCGATTAATCGCTCTATTAATATTTTCTTTACCATTAATTTACTACAAATTATTCGATCAAGTATGTAATTCTTGTTGGTGTTTTTTTTTTTTGTTGTATTTTTTTCTATTCCAATTTAATTTAATAATTTCAATGAAAGCGAACGAGATGATTAGTTAATTATTTTAAATATTTATGACGATTTCAATAAATGGATTGCGACAAATTACGTATAATCGCGCATGCTGACGTAAGATTAACTCGTATAAAACTTGATTCTATCGTTTTCGAAAATGCATTACTTATTAAAGTATCTTAATGATGCTTTTATATCACAGTTATATTCGATATTTCTTGCCGAACTTATCTCAGGTATGCCCAACAAAGATAACCGAACATGGACCCAAATATTAACAGGATATAATACATAAAATTAATCGCCCTGCCTGTTATTTTAATATCAATTGTAAGGAATTTGTACGGCTAAGTGGGCAGTCGCTGCAGACGACTTAAATTTAAATAAAACCGTTTTCACAAATTCTAGAACATATTTGATGTGACGAACGTGGCAATAGTCGTAACCTCTAAATGTCCATCATGTCCTACATACTCGAATATTTACATGGAGGATATCTAAAGTGATTGTTGATAATTCTGTACGTGTCACTCATAATACTTGTCACTTATAATCAAATAATTTCTAGGAAATTATATACTGGTTAAAAAAAAAAAAAAAAAAAAAAAAAAAAAAAAAAAAAAAAAAAAAAACAATACTGTGTAAATTGCCGATGCATTGTAGGAAATTTGTTAAAAAATTTCATTTCCTTATTCACAGCCAATTAAACTTGTAGAATTATTCAACCTAACGAGGGAATATTCAATTTTAAAATGTTTATTCACATTGCAAATGCTTTCACTACAAAAATTGACGTTCTTTGCGTTTCAAAAACTTTAAACATCTTGTCAATACGAGCATCTACGCGACCATTGATAGGAAATCTAACGTCATGCATCGAATGTTCCATAATTTCCCGTTTTACCTACACGAATTACGCGTCTTTCCCAATCCAGGCAATATATATATATATATATATATATATATATATATATATACATATAAATTTTTTATCAAATTTGCTTCTCAACTATTCAAAATTTTCAATATAAATATTTCTTTTATCATGAGTTATACCACAAATGATATATAAATAAATTACTCTGCAATTAAATTTCGCTTTTTGTAGCTCTTAGAGTACGTAACTTTTACTTTTTAATATAAAAAGAGAAACCTATTGTTAAACCTGTAATTATTATTGTGATTTTATTAAAATTGAATTATTCACATCGATAATCGTATTACATTTATAATATAAAGTTACAGTTTCTTTAAAACTATTTTAAATTTCAAGGAACAATGACTTATACGAATACTAAATAAATAAATAAATAAATAATAAAACCAAAAATAAATTTTCAAATGTTTTAAAAAAATCGGTTTATTAAACTTTAACAGTTCGATATTGAAGCTGATTTTTCATATATGCAACATGTATTTACAAATTTACAACATTTAATAGGACAGTGGAGGTAACAATTTACTTTATTTATTATTATTATTTTTCATTTATTTATAATATACAAAATGTTCATAATGTTATATAAGGTAATGGTATAAAATAAGATAACCATCTTTAATTCCACATGCTTAGAGTGCCATTCGGTTCTACTGTTGAAATACCTTAACATAAGACCCTATTTAACTCGCCATAAACATATGGATTTACGTCCACTATTTTATGAAAGTCAATTTAAATTGTACGGACAGGCAATTATCGACATTTAATATCGATCATTAATAACGTTCAGGAAAATTTTTCGTCTTTGTCAATACGAGCATCTACGCGACCATTGATAGGAAATCTAACGTCATGCATCGAATGTTCCATAATTTCCCGTTTTACCTACACGAATTACGCGTCTTTCCCAATCCAGGCAATATATATATATATATATATATATTGAGACACGCGCGCAAATTGCCTCAATGCGTCGCCAAAGAGGGAAGCCATAATAATATCAATGCTCTTGGCGAGCAAAAGTAATTCAGGCCCAACGATTGCGCGGCAATATTGTCATAAAAATAATGACCAAGTTACCTCCCACCCCAGATCTGCTGCCTAACGAAAGAGCGAGAAAAATCGATGACCCGTATTATCGATACGCGAGCCGGGGCTCCCATTTAAATAATGAATTCCCGTGTACGCTCGGACCATAATTTTCGATTTGTGGCAGGATCACTGAAAAACATCCCGATCGAGATGAAAAATCCGAGGAGTCATGCACACACTGTATACAAAACGGCTACACTCGGCGTCCTGGGGCGCGCGCACACGCTTACGCCGCCTCCCGAAGCCGAATGCACTCGACGTCCCAACAGGTATTCATTCGACTCCCCTGCTCCAGTAAAAACGGACCTTTCCTCCCCAGCGGGAGTATACGAGCTACATGCACGGCGGAGATAGCAAAAAGCCGATAATAATAATAATAAAAAAAAACAAAAAAAAAAAACAAAAAAAAAAAGAAGAGAAAAAGAAGAGAAAAAAAACGGACGTAATCTCTGGCTGCATTCCCCACCGACTCCCCCGACTACCGCCGTATCCCCCCCTCCCGCCCGCCCGCCCTACCCGTCGAGCGCCCCACCCTGCCGCCCCGCACTCTTAGTGCCGTCGCTCCGCTCGCCCTCTTTCATTTTTAAAATTACTCCGACTTTTTCCTCCTCGCCCTTTTTATTTTTCATTTGCCAGTCATTTTCGCTTCCCTGTCCCCTGCCATTTATCATCGCGAGATTATTTAATGAAGATGACTGTGTGCTTATAAAGCCATTTGGACGGGAAGCGAGTCGTAAGCTTCTTTAGTCGTTCGAGTTAAGTTCCTTCGAAAATGCGCCAAGTCCCGCGATCGATCGGCAAATCGATCGAAATTATTGTCGATTAAGTGCCTAGGCCCGTCGGTTTTTCGGATAAACAAAGCATCGAAGATAATACCCGAGCGATCGTTTTAAGTCTAATGCCTCACAATACTCGCGATACTTTCAATTATTCGGCACTTTTCTCCATCATAATTTTTCTGCCGCGCGACAACGAGTCTATCACGGCTTCTCCGAAATAAAAAAAAAAACAACACATTTTCAATCCTATGACTGAATCAAACAATATTTAGAAACACATTTCATAAATTTCATTTATTTTCTAACGCTCCCCCCCCCCTCCCACCCACCCACTCACCCTCCAACCCGACAATATGCATTTAAATAAGCCCATGCATTATGCACGTTAAGGCCCTAATGCCCAATTGGCAAAAACTTTTTTTTTTCCCATTTATCTCGTAGCATATTGATGCAATGTACATCAAAATAAAATGCTTAAGAACCTTACACAGGCTCACAATGTCGAGATAAACATAATACTTTGGCTTAAGATTCTACTTGAAAATTGTTAAAATTGGCAGCTACGCGGGACGAAGCAGCAACCATTTACAACCAAGTTGCTCAAATTGCATATCCTGGTGGTAGCGCAACATTATAATACGCTCGAATACTCTTGACCTGTCGAATTGATTTTTCAGAAATTTTACTTCAAAAATTCCTTAATCCATTTATCATCACGAAACATTACTCATATTATAATGTACTTTCCCCGTTTACATTGTCGCGCTGGGCACACGCACACACACGCACGGCCGACTACACAGTGCAGTGCAGACTAACTACTTATGTACGGACCGTTGGCATCCGGAGAATCGAGAGACGACTTTTTACCACAATCACGGATAATTAGAGTCTCCTGTCGGATATTCCGTTGAAAAAACACAATAGGCCCCAAAGTATTGGCGCGCATATTTTTTCAAAGCTATTATCAGCAGCTTGGAAATAAGCGTCGATGAGAGCAGCATCGATGAGGCTAGTCTCGGCCAAACAGTTTCGCGGAAGCTCGGCACGAAGTCTAACCTCAAAAAAATTAAAAGTCGAACTGGCTAATCGACAGGTGGTGGCCACCTCCTCTGGTCCAGTCCCCAGCCTATAATAGCTCATGGTGAATACAATCACGGGGCCGCTACGTAAAGACGCCAAAACGAGGGTAAGGTCGGAGTTCTCGGCCCTCCCCGTCCCACGTCCCGCGCGTGAAACTCACCCAAGAAGAGATCGGCAGCGGCTGCAACAATAGTAGTAGCGGCGGCGGTGGCGACGGCCCTCCTCCGGCGCTCGATGCACGTCTTCCTAATCGTCGTCTCCTCGCTCCCACCTCTTAGCGCTGATCGGAGTAATACGGTACGCGCTACGGTACCGCGGCGGCGTCCCGACCTCCTCGCTCGCCTTATCGCTCCCCTCTGTCCGCGCGAGAAAGAAGTAAGGGAGGACGCGGGTGACTCTCGGCGCTACCTCGGCGCGGGCAACGTTCGATCAACGAGAGAACGGTGATTGCGACAACGACGCACATGGCGCACCACGCGGTCAAACCTACCCAACGCTCGTTCAGCTACGAAGTGCTCCGCTTAGTACTTAGTACTGACACTGACGAACGTCTCGACGACCAACGACGTCGTACCAGAGCCTCGGAGTTGGGAGAGAGCCGCCGCCGCCGCCGCCGCCGCCGCCGTCGACGCCGCCGATACCGCCATCGCCACTGCCACCGCCACCACCGCCACCACCAACACCACCACCACCACCACCACCACCACCACCAACACCTCCACCATCACCACAACTGCCGCTGACCGCCGCCACCGCCATCGCCACTGCCACCGCCACCACCGCCACCACCAACACCACCACCACCACCACCACCACCACCACCAACACCTCCACCATCACCACAACTGCCGCTGACTCTGCTGCTCCTGCTGCTCCTGCTGCTCCTGCTGCTGCTGTTACTGCTGTTGCTGCTGTTGCTGCTGCTGCTGCTGCTGCTGCTGCTGCTGATGCTCTACCACTACTACCCGCGCAACACATTACACGCACGCATGCACGCACGCACGCACGCACGCACGCACGCACGCACGCACGCAGACACGCTCTGTCTCGCTCGTTCTTCAGAAAGCACGTTCCTTGTTGGTGAGGGGTGGGAAAGAATGAGAGAAGGGAGAGAGGCATGTGAGAGAGAGAGAGAGAGAGAGAGAGAGAGAGAGAGTGAGAGGCCCACGAACTCCGCGAAGAGTCGCGCGACGACGACTGGAGGGGCAACGAGTGGGAAACCTTCACTGCCGGAGTCTGTTCGCTCACCGTACGACGTTTTCCAGAAAGATAGATAGAGAGAGAGAGAGAGAGAGAGAGAGAGAGAGGAGAAAAGGAACGAATGAGAGCGAATGAGAAGGAATGAGAGAAGGAGCGCACCGTTGAGTGGGTGGAAAAGGGACAGGTGGAACAGCTTTGCTCCGTGCTGTTCTCTTCGTCTTTCTCTGCCTCGCGCTCTTTTGCCGAGGCTCGACACCACACCTTGGCAATGTCTTTTGCCAACGGCGAGAGAGAGAGAGAGAGAGAGAGAGAGATTAGAAACGGCTTGCTTTCTTTTTCTATGGACAGTGCCGTACTGCTTTCTTATCTTTTTTTCCCCTCTTTGTATGTGCATTTTCTCCCTCTCCCCTTGGCCAGGGCCCAGTGCATCCCATTCTAGGCACGGCACACCAAGAGAGAAAGGAGATATTGCAATATGGTGAGCGCCGATCTTTCTCTCGGCCTTTTTCTCGCCGCTGTCGCTACGCGTAACTTCGCCAATCGTTCGGGGCACGCGTTCCCCGGCCCTTTTCCCCAGAAAAAATCGCAATCTTTTGTCGACGGTCCGAGACCGCTTGCCCGATCACCCAAATACTTCCCTCACCGCTTTCCTAATATCCTAAAATCCCATTACTCTACCTTTTCGTCTCCATTCTTCAATCCGCGATCTCCAGCAAGTCGCTTCGGCAATTTCACCACGATGCATTAAACAAACTACAGGCACATAATAATGTGCTGTTAATGCTTGGCTGCCTTCCATACTTTTACGACCAAAGTAAGCTGCCTTGTTCACGACATGGCAATGGCAACACGCAAGACAATGGCTAAAACCAATGCTACGTGATCTAAAACTATTCTCACAAATTTGCGTCGCGCAACCTTTATAATTAAACGAAAGCATCACCGGTATTATATCTAGTTTATTACTTTTTTCTTTTTTTCATTTTTCTCTATCGTTGAACGTTGCTCGTCGATCCCACCATCACCCACCTCGCGATTTTAGCGATGTAATAATCGATATAATTGCATCAAATATTTGGACTTAAAGGATGGAAATAGTTATTGATGACGTCGGGCAAACAATGAGCCAGAAAAAACTGGAAGCTATTAGTTAACGACCTCAAGACAATAATTTATACATTTAAGTCGCGACTAATTGTCACTATGCCTTTCGTCGTGCATATTGGACAAATTGCTAATTAAACAGGCGCGCGTTAATAATTTCACAATTACTGTGGGAAAATGAAATAAAAGTTCACGTGTTTCGCCTACTATAAAGTCATCGTGCTCTTTCCGCCTGCGTTTCCATATCCTATTTATTTGGCTTGAATATAAAATCCATGTAAAATCCGCGACAAGGGTGGCTACTTTGAATTCAATAGGAATTTGTGCGCAATGTTGAAATGTCATTCCAACGCGACTTAAGTACATCACTTACAATACGAGAGGGACTAATTGAAGAGGATCGTTACTTGTCTTGTACTATTTGTCGAATATTAATGGATGATTCGCGCCCGACATTGCCAAGGCAATCAAAGCAAAGCTAAAATTAATTATGTTAACCTGAAATTTTACATAAACGTATAATGGTGCGCTCGTTATTGCCCTTCACGCTGTAAACAAAGTTCCTTTCCGCGGGTGAATTCTGAGTTCCAGCCGCGCATTCTTAATTGGGCCGCTCGCTCCCTCTCGTCTTATCTCGCCATATATATATAAGGAAGCGTCGCGCGATAAGAAAGTGCGCCCGAGTAATTAGTAAGAGAAGTAAGCTTGGCACTCGTTAGCCCGTGCGAGCATCGTCATGCAAAAGAGCCCGAAGATAAGCCGAAGGACCGCGGCATCGTACTTTTCGACGGGCCGAAGCCCGCGCCGCACCTCCTCTCCCACTCTCGGAGACGGCCAAGGCTCGTCGGGGTAGAGGTCCTGGATTCGCGAGTGCTTTCGCCGCAACGACGGTTGTAGAAGCGAGAGGCTCCCCCGAAGAAGAGCGAGAAGAAGAGGTTGATATGAGGAGTAGAAGGGGGATGAGGAGGAAGCAGTAGAAGAAGAAGAAGAAGAAGAAGAAGAAGAAGAAGAGGAGGAGGAAGAAGAAGAAGAAGAAGAAAAAGTAAAGGTAAGAGTATCTCCATCGTTCCTACAGTGCCTATCTCCCTTGCCTCGCTCCTTCTTCTTACCATCCTCTATACACCCCCACCCTACCCCCCATACATCACTCTATCTCTCTCGCTCTCTCACTCCTCCTGTCCCACACCCGTCCTATACTACAGCGGCTCTCCGTACGGCCGACTTGCCTCGTTGCCCTCTCTCTTTTTCCAAGACTTCCTTTCTTTCGCCTCGGCTACCACGACTCCTTTTTTCACCTCCACGCTTTTCGCTCTCCAGCTGCCGGAGGAAAATTATTCCGCGAACGGTGATGCGTCTGGATGGCTGTTCGATGATGAGTCCTCGGCCCCTCCCCTCCCCCGCCGCCCCATCACGCCACCCCATTCCACCCAACCTCACCCGTCCCTTATGCAACTCGACAACCCCATCTCTCCGTCACCATCTCACCGTCCCCGTGAATCTCGATAATCGGACGCGACTTATCATACTTGCGCATTCTTATCCGGACTTTGATTAACTGCCATGTAAGGGGACGTTTATGCAACGCATAAATGACCGATGCCCCCACCGCCGCCACCATTGCCACCGCCTTATACAGATAGAGCCGTACCGTTTAAATAAAGTAACCCCCCCCCCCAACGCACCCCCATAAATTATCGATGACTACACCTAATTGGGTGCGACAGACCCTGGCAAAATTGAGACATTACATTACACTGAATTCTAATGGCTCTAGGCGACGAGGATTCACCGTTGTTCTTTAATTAGCTAGTGACGTTTAAGAGGACTGGATCAGCCGGATGTCCTTAAACTGCTTGAGCATCGACCCACTGCGTGCCATTTGCAAACTCACGATTTGCCATTACGTTGGACGATCGCAACCCCTGCAACATCGACGTAAGACAATCTCGACCGGCGGTACTACGGGCGCAATACAATAATCGGCTATAAAAAAAAAAAGTCGCGCACCCCCGGCATCCAGGCCCTGCAACTACAAATTTCGGCCGACGCTAAACACAGCCGTATGCACCTCCAAGTGTAAGGGCTTTCTCCTTCTACCGGAGCTAAAAATATTTTTCCTGCACAGCGTAACCTTGCGCTCTTCGAAATCCTTTCTTCCCGACGCCAAACCGAGCAGCAGGACGAGTTGAATTTATGCACGCAAGGAGGAGGATACTAGTAATGTGGACCTTCCCGTCCAGCTGAACATCTCATCTCGACAATTACGTTCGGGACGAATACACTCGGCTCCTTGCTCGGCACGCTATATTCTTTTTATCCCATTTCACGACCGAGCGTTTAATGAAGAAGTTCACCGATATGAAGGATTATGCGAGAGCAAGAGAAGTTTTTAATAATCGTTAGACTCAATAGCTTCCCACGCCCTACCCTCGTCGTCGATCCTCGCACTTGCTCCCGTCGACGTTATTTGACGAAATTTTACGAAAATAATACCCACTTGATGACAAGTAAAAATTAGTCGAGTCGAGTAGATTATTAATGGCTCAGAGGCCAGCCGTAATAACACAATTTCAAATTAAATATCCTGTTTGTGTGTTTACTTCTTTTATGTATTAATTTTTCTTATGCTAATGTTGCAACACTCTTTAGACCTGCGGTACTAATACGAAAACCCATTAAACAAAAACAAAAACAAAAACAAAAGAAAACAAAACAAAACAAAACAAACAAAAAAAGAAAGAAAGAAAAAGAAAAGTAATACAATTCCGATAAGGCGTACCGTTGGGAAAGTAAAATCTTTCTAAGGAAAGATCTGATTTATGAACTAGCGGTCGTGAATGTATGTTGTTAGTACGATAATTCATCGAATTATATTTGAAATTATTAAAGCGAGCATTAATCAATAATTATCGTTGTTCAAACAAAAAAAAACAATAATATAGTTGTTTCACGCCGAATGGAGTGAAAAAAACGGACGTGACGATAATTTAAAAGTAAAAGAAAACATTCGCACGACGTTATAATTGGTTTGAAAAAGCATGAATGAACGAATGAATAGTTTATAGAATGAATGAAAATTTTATGAACGAAGTAATTAATTTTCGTGCGCATGGTTAGACAATTGCCAAAGCCCCTTTACATCGAGACCCATTCATTATCATATGTATTATTATCACGAGCCATGACGATTCTAATATTTGGATGATCACAATGATCACGCAACGACTGTTAATTCAACCAAGCAAAGCTAATCAATTTAGCATATTTTTAAATTAAGGGTAGAACAAAGCACGTGTTGGC